AAACTCCTTTGAGGCCATCTCGTACAAGCATGGAGGTTGTATGATCACCTTTCCAGAACCACCTCCCACACAGCCCTCACTCAGCACCGCACACTGCAACCAGCCCTGGCCCGATGGCGCTGTGGACCGGATGTCCAGGAAGGCCAGGGTTCCTGTTATCGTAAAGAACGAACACTGGAGATTTGTGTCACAGTTCTGGTGACCAGGAAGTCCCGGGGTCACAGAGCCACAGATACAGCAGGTGGCAAAACCAGCTCTCTGCCTCAGGTACATGCTGTCTGACTGTGCCCTCAGAGTCGAGGGTACAGGCCCTCAGCTCTCTGGTAAGGCACATATCACCCCTATCAGGCCAGCTCTTCCATCAGTCCCTGGGATTTGGTTCCAACAGACAGAACTCATGGGTACCACCCTGCAGGCCTCACTATCTGCTCACACCATGGGGCAGCTGACCACGGTGCCATCCTCACCCATGGAGCCCACTATGGGGCCCTTGGGCCGGCTCTTTGCAGGTGCGCTCTAGGCAGCAGTGCTGAGCAGGGTTGCAGAGGCTGAGTGTCCATTTCTTAGGTCCTGGGAAGCCACCCTGCAGCCCCAGGGCTCAGCCTCTGTCCTCTGAATGCCTGTATCACCATGGGCTGACCTCCCTCTAGATCTGCTCGCAGGCCACCTGGGGTCGCTTCCTTTGTCCCTTCCACAGAGACTGAGCTGCACCCATCCCCGGGAATCCCAGCTCCACACTGTAAGAGCTGGGTGACTCTCAGAGCTACCCTGCCTGGTCAGCGCCCCGGCCCAAGCCTTCCGCACAGGGGCCAGGGTAGCAGCTTCTCCCTACCAGGCTGAGAGATGACAACGTGGTTTACTCACAGGGCGTTCAACTAAGTGGCTGGTGATGCAAACCCCTTACTGGGATCCACCCAGTAAGATGTCTGCCCTCACAAGAGCCCTCTGGCCTGCAGGACCTGTGCTTGGGGCATGAGGTGACAGCGGCCAAGGCTCCATCAGGGACAGCTCAGACACTATGCACACACTCCTCTCCCAGGGGAACGTCTGTCCTTCAGATCAGAAAGCCATTGTCCATTCGGCCAAGCTTTCTTCCCAAAAGCTGAGGGCTGTGGGTGCGTGTTTATAACACCTCCCACTGAAGGTCATCGCCTCTGATTCTGTGCAGCTGAGGGGGATACTTAGGGTCTCAGTGACTCCAATCACAGCCACGCCTGACATAGGTGCAGGCCCTACCAGCTTGGTGGGCATCTCCTGCTCCATCCACAGACTGTGCTGGGACTGTCCCTTTGCTTCACAAACTCCACTTGCCAGTGAGCTGCCACGTGGCCCCACAGAGCTGTCCCACTGGGTCTCAAGGAGGTCGTGATGCACAATTGGCACTGACCCTCCTGGAACCTGCAGTTCCCTCTGCTGACCAGGGCTGTCACAGGGCCTGGCCTGATGGCCCGCGCTGAGATGACCACACACAACCCCTGCCCCACGCAGGAATGGGCATCTCCTCAGCAACTCCTTCTGCTTCTATTCCAGGGTGGGCAGCAGCTGGATGACCCGCTGGGAACACAGGCAGGTAGAGATCACCTCTGCTCTGACCCCAGCGGCCCTGACTCCTGGGAAGATGGGCAGCGTGGTCTCCTGGTCTGGCTGACAAGAACAGTCCCCAGATGTGAGCGTGGCAGGCCCATGTGGTCTTGGGCTGGCTGAGCTCTGCCCTGGGGCTGCCTGTCTCAGGTGCCTTGGCCACAGCTGTGCCCCATCTCATGTGCGAGACACAGCCCCCATCTCAATTTTGCACACACGCGGGTGCACACACACAGGCACACACCTTTGTTCCGGCTCTCTTCCTTGCCACTGCCCCTCTGCAGCATGTAGTACAGCTCTGACCTCGTGCTCAGTATTTATTGCCCTCCGCCAGGTCACACATCAGTGGGGCCAGGCCTGCCCTCTTCTACAGCCTCCAGCCTGCAGAAGGTGCCTGCCCAGCGGGAGGGCCTCACACGCCATGGCTCTGATCTGCACCCCCCCAGCAGGTCTGCTTCTGCTCCCCAACCCTGCTCTCAGATAGCTCCATCGGTGGGCAGCAGCGCCAGGGCAGGCTCTGAACACTGATGTGGGGTGAATGTGGCCGTGGGGACTCCAAGGACTGGGAGGGCCTGGTTCTGGGCTAGATCCGCAGGGCAAGGCATCCCCATAGCATCCCCAAGTAATGGTGCTCTGCATGGAGTTCACTGCACTGCGGAGGAACCGAGTCCATGGGCAACAGACCCAGCAGCCGCTGTGGCCTGCACGGGATCTGGCCCACTGTTCCCTGTGGCCACTCATGTCAGAGCCCCAAGGGCAGCGCCTTCGTGCCTGGGTCGGGATGCTGACACTTTTCCTTCTAGGCCAGGACCCGGCTCTGCCGTTCCAGTTTGGGGGGATGCGGAGCACGCAACCTGCTTTCACCTCTGCGCTTTCCAGGAAACGCAGGATGGGCTGGGACACCTCAGATGTTTGTTCCTCCTCTGCCGTGTGGGTTGAACACAGCCAAATCGGCCTCGTTGCTGAGGTGCCTCGGGAGTCTACTACCCAGTGTGGCAGAGGCCACGACCACCACAGTTTCAGGTAAAAGCAGCATCTAATGTGCCCCGCACTGTGGAGCCTAGCGGGTGCCAGAGACAAACGTGCTGAAGGACAGGCACTGTCCATGTTCTCTCATGGCTGAGACAAAATACCCGACACCCAGAGTCGAAGGGGGAAAGGGTTATCAGCTCACGGTGCATGGGCAGCTGGCTCCACGACAGGCCGATGGCAGGGGGAACATGCTGGGCAGACGGCAGCGAAACAAACAAGCCTCTTTCTGTCTCTCATGCGGTGTCCAGGCTGCTGGGATTAGGGCAGTGCCAATCCTATCAGTGGACTGATTCAGTAACCACCCACCCTTAATCCCAGCCATGGACCATGATTGAACCCCACACTCTCGGTTCAGCCACCTCTGAGAAAGTGCCACCTACAATGGCATCCGGCTTTGGGGGGCCACCCAGACACAAGCCACAATGAAGCACACTGACACAGCACACAACCTCAGCTGCCTACATTCCCATGGTTCTGGCTATTGCCCGGCCCTTGCCCACCTACTCTGCCGGGTCCCAGGGTCCCCCAGTCCAAGGTTTGGGCCAGGTGTGGGAGGAGCAGAGCCCGACCCCGACCACCCCTTCCCTGTGCCATACTGGGGTGCTCAGCCACGGCTGCAGGTGTTGCCGTTCTTGGCCACATAGTGCCCCCAGCACTGCTGGCAGCAGAAGGCTCGGGATGTCCAGCTACCGCTGCCAGCTGAGCTCCTGGCCTAGTGGTTTTGCTGAGCTACACTTCACCAAGGAGGCTTGGAACTGGGGCCAGGGGCTGCTGCTGTTCCCTCAGCCCACAAGTTTACTAGGGAGCGCTCTCAGGGTCACAGCAGCTGGGGAAGGAGCAGCAGAAACAGGACCCCTCAACAAGGATGCCAGGCTGAGGCAGGGAGAGTGAGAGGGGACACCTAAGATCCTGCTGTCATCCTTCAAGCATGGCAAGAGCACCCTGTAGAAGGGGACTCCCCTGGGTAATGGGTCCCTTCCTCAGCCTCCGCACTCCCAGGTAAGCTCGGGCGCCCCCAGGACAGGAGCCAACTCCACCTGTGCCCTTATTCCCCAGAGCCGGAGCCAGTCTGGCACCCAGGAGGGCTGCACTAAACACTTGCTCTGGGAACGCATCGCCAGACCCTATCAGCATACAGCACGAACAAAATACCATGTCACTAACAGAAACTGTCTCCAGGGAGCTGAGTGTGATCAGAACAGGAGAATCAAGCAAAAACACCAGCCAGCAAAAAGAGCACAGGCGGACACTGACCTGGCCTGTGATGGCACCTGCGAGACCCGCCCCGGTCAGGCTCAGGGCCTGGTGTAGGAATCAAAGGGCAGAACCTGGGACTCAGAGAGGACACACTGGGTTTCGGCTGTCACATGGGTCTTTGACACATCACTGTTGAGCTGAACAGGAAAGTTAACTTGGATGCTAACAAGGGAAGAGTCCGAGGCCACAGCATCATTCCTGTGGCTGCCTGGCGTCTTTTCTCCCTGAGTCCGGAGCTAAGAAGACTCCAGGGGAGACGCAAGAAGGGGCCAGGGGAGGCCAGGGTGGACAGGCAGCCAGCAGGAATATGATTTATGAAAATTAGTAAGTGGTACTTTACCCTCTTGAGATAAGGCGCTAAGAAGGGGGCAAACGGATTTCTTTTTGGACACAGGAACCAGAGTGCAATTTGTAAAAAGAGCAGAAATAAGAAAAAAAATCTCACTATCAAGTTTCATTCCCACAGCATTTGTCCAATACAGGAAAGAGTTTTTAAAATAGTGCAATTATTAAGGAAAATACTGGTAAGAGATCTACTTGTTCATAGGCCAAACAGCCCAAGCGACTTCCTGAACACTGTCCTTTGTGTGCCAAGGCTCAACCCACCAGCCAGGCTCACATTTCCCACGAGGCTCCGTCATGCACCTCAAGGCCACGGCGAGAGCTACAGCAATGGCGGAGGAATGTCCTGCAGAGCCACATGCAGGCGCCTCAGTGAAACAACAAACCGGAATGCTAATGAGCGCCAAAGAGCATTTCCAACACTCCAAAATCAATACTCACTTCTGCCACCTCAGAGGTGTGCTTGGCAATCAGGTAGCATATTTGAAGAAAAGAGCAAACCAGCAAATGCACAGGAGTGTGCCAGCACTGGGTTAAATGCAAACAAAATGGATACATTTGATATGTACCGGCTACAAAGTATCCTCAGCTGGGTTCTCCACATGAATGGAGCTCTTCTTTCCCTACAGAAATACGAATCCTTCAAACTGAAGGAGAGGTGGTGTTTAACTACTTTTTAATTCTCTGCTGGCTTTATCCTCATTTGGGCTGAACTCATCTTTAACAAACACAACCGTCCTGGGTGGCAGGCTGACCCCCACCAGCCCAGGAAAATGCGCGGCGGTCACCTTTGAACTTGTGGAACACGGCCCACAGCTCCGCGATGTCGGTGGCGAAGGTGATGTCGGTGTCCAGGACGATGACTCGCTCCAGGTTGGCGGGGAGCGTCTTGGTGAGGACGAGCTTCATGAGGCCGTAGATCCCGGAGTAGTGCTTGTTGGGGATCCAGGAAACTTCAGACTGCAGGGGGGTGGAGGGGAGAGGAGAGAAGGGGAGCCCCATGTTAATGTCTGCTACATCACTGCACACCATGTCTGAGACCTAAAAGGGCCCAAGGCGAATGTGCTCAAGGACGTGTCTGAGGGAATTTGTGGGGAAGAAAATGTATCGGAATCAAGACAGAAGGAAAGTACCAGTTATGAAATAAGTATGAGCTGTTATTTGAGGAGCTATGGGGGTCCACGGAGAAAAGCAGAGCCACGAGAAGGACGACATGGGGGCACGGACCCTGGATCACACTGCCTACTCTTTCTGTAACCAGGGCCTGACGTTCCTGGGGCGGGGGGTGTGTATTTCTTTAAGTCCTACTGTATTTCTGTCATCAGAGGCCACAGAGATTCTGGTTTAGTGACTAAGTTCCATCCCTGTGCCTAGGCTATGAACGCACTGGTCACTAAGTGAGGACCTATACATAGGTAGTGTGCAGGTGCCATACTCAGAACACACTCGGGCGACGGGAGCGCAGACTCCATGAAGTCCGTTTCATTTGCGTGACTCTCGAGCGCAGCACAGTGGCGCCCGGCAGAGCCTTGCAGTGCAGTGCAGTGAGGACCTGGGCTGCAGGGGCAGCCACCACACAGGCGCACGGCTGCGCCCATCTACTGAGTCCAGAAGTGTGTGGCGAGTCCACGCCCGCCAGGCAGGACTGAATCTGAGCAGTCGCTCCGCAGCTCACTACACCAGCAGTGTCTGCTTAGGTTCCCCTGGACCCGCGAAGCTGTGCCCAGTAGACGGCACGTCGGTCATCTTTTTGTTCTGAGACAAACGCACTGGGCGGCCCTGTCACAACCCATGCAGCACAGGGTCACAGAGAGGAAAGGACAACCAGGGACATCCACCTGGTGACCCTCGGGGCCCTGCAGAACAGCTAAGAGCCGCAGGTGGCTGGAGGCGGCCGGAGGGCCTGCGCTTTGGCACCACTAAGTGGAAGACCAGAGGGAGCAGAGCATCCCCAGGGGAGGCCCACATTCCGGGCCCAAAGTACAGGTCTCGTCTCTAACACAGGGACTCGTGTGGCAGCCCCGCTGGTGGAAGAGGGGTTGCCACTCCGGATCCAAACACACACGCGGCTCCTCGGTCCTCATCATGCCCTCCAGAGGACCAGGTTCTTCAAGAAAAAAAAATTGAATTAAAGACAAAGTCTCAGCATCTTACTCTCAAAGACGTTCCTCACGTTATAAAGAGGTGGCAACCATCCTGCTGCCCAGTGGAACAGCATCCCCGCTCACCAGGCAGTGCAGTGAGCCGGGCTAAAACTAGGTGGATTAAGGTACAGTTTAACACCATGTGTGTACGACATTAAAAGAAAAAAATAACAAGCTAAAGTTGTTTAAAACACACAATGGTGGACCGGAATTTAGCTCAGTGGTGTCAGCGCTTGCCTGTGGAGTGTGAGAAGTGTGAGGTCCTGAGTGAGTTCAATCCCTGGCACCAAAAAAAAAAAATCTTAAAATCGCAGTGCTGTCATTTATCAGACAACGCGGAGCCACATGTAACCAGCAGAAGCGGAGAACAAAGGAGCGAAGGGGCTGACACGCGTGTGAGTGAGCCCGGGCGTCCCCTCCCAAGCACAAGCAACGCCTGCTGCTGCTGTGCAGCCGAGGAAACGGCACACTTCCTCAGAGGACCAGGACAGCGGGGAGGGGACCCAGGGACAGCTCGGGAGGCCTGCGCCATCTCCAAACCACCCCATTCACTGTTCTGCTTTGCTGAAGACATCACTCTGGCCACCTCCTCTTCCCAGCTTTGCAATGGCCCTCTGCTTGAACGAGTGCAGTTCTGACCAGGAACAAGGGAAGCATTCTGACAGGCTGAGCGGTTCACCATGGGTCCACCTAAAGGGCAAGAATGACTGACCCTCGGCCGTCATCCTGGCCGCCTGGCGCCTGGGCAGCGGGGGAGGCAGACGAGATGGGGCTGAAGCCTGGGCGCGGCTCATGCTGCTCTGTCTGTGGATGGACGTGGTGCCTGTGTCACATGCCGAGGAGAGGACTCCAGTAGCTGCTGGTGTGTGACGGACACCGGGAAAAGATGGTTACATCACTAGCCGCTTCCTGCTTCCCTCCCTTTGTTCCTGGCAGGGGGCATCATCACTGTGTCACCTTGGACAAGACCCTCAGCCTCTCTGAGCATCTGCCATAGACAGAGCCCCTTCATCCTGCCAGGGCCTAGAGGAAGAAGCTCCACCCAGGACACCAGAGAACTGGTCAGGGGCAGGAGCGCTCACTGCATGCATGCAGAGTCGGGGAGGGGACGATGCAGAGTGTTGCGGACTACAAGGCTGAGGGGCCGTGGAGGGGTCCAGAGAGTGCGTCATGGCAGGAGGCAGCCTGGCAGGAGTGCGGAGACGTGGTCCATCCGTGGCAGTGGGGGACGGGAGCCACGTCCCAGCCTCCCACTGCCTGGCCACAGAGCTCCGGGAAGCTGCCAATCTGGATGGAGGCAGAAGGAAAGTGACGGGCCCTTCACCCATCTCCCTCAAGGGCACGGTGAATGTGGGCAGGACCTGCAGGGCAAACCTAACACGACCAGCACCGCCATGCTGCTAGCACAGGGACAGAAACTGGATGGACAGAAACGCACGTGGCAAAAGCGAAGCCCAAACCTCTCCTGAGCCAAGCGCAGGTGGACACCAGGGAGGGCGCCATCTGCCTGCAGCCGGAGCTGAAGCAAGGTCCACAGGAGCTTCAGGCCTGTCCCCGACCCCAGCACCCTTCCTTCCCTGGGACCTGGCTCCTGACCAGCCATCCCCTAACGGTCTGAGAGCACAGCACCCTTCACCCCACTTCCTCCTGCAGGCCTGGCCTCAGCTCCCTTCTCCCCTCCTGAGGCTCTGCCTGGACGGGAGCCTGGCAATCAGTGGCCTGCTCGGTGGAGCTGTGCTATTTAATCAGACCTTTGATTAACTTATTCTTCTATTTTGGTTACCATCAAAGCAGGAGAGCTTGGTGGAGACGGCACACGAGAGTGCCGGGCTAAGCCACCTAATTAGATTGCCCCGTGCTCAGCGTTATTTTTAACTCGCATGCGAGGCGGGCGGGTGCATCCTGAAACAGGAGGCCGACAGGAATAAATTAATCTCAACATGAGCCCGGGCCGGAGGTCGCCCCTAGCCCCAACTTAATCCACAATCAATTAATTCCAAGCGTTCACTTGGAGGCAGGGGAAGCCTTGCGGGGAGTCTGTCGCCACAGAGCTCTGGGGAAGGCACAAAGCCGAGGGCTTTCTGGGGGGAGCAGCTGGGGAAAGCAGGTGCAATTGTAGGAAAGGGCCCTCTGGGGGGCAGGGGCTCAGGACGGCTCCTCTCCTCCTCCACCCACGTTCTGCTCCTCTCCCAGGTGTCACTCATAGTCGCCCTCTCCGGTCAGCACTTCCTAATATCCTCAGGCTGGCCTGGGCTCCGGAAGTGGCTGTCCCCCTCCCACCAGCCCAGCAGGCCACCGTGCCCTGTAAGCGTCCACATCTCTGGCTGGGACTCCTTGAGGCAGGCGCAGTGACTCTGATGGACACAGGCCTGGGTCCCAGTCCCACCCTCGATGTCCTCGCCAGCTGGGGGCAGCAGCCTGTGACTGCCCAGGGCCAGAGTGAGGACTGTGGTGAGAGGTGGTCTTGGTAGGCCTCAAGCCCGGGACGTAGACAGCCACGTCCGTCGTGAGACTCAGCTTTTGCCTTCCCATCTAAGGGGTGAGAGTTTTAACCGGGACCTCATAACCGTGCTGGAGGCTGGCAGCCGGCTGGCCCCTGCATCCAGTCTTAGGGTTTGGATCTGGAATCTGCCCCGAGGCCTCCTGTGCTCAGAGGCGGGCTTTGGAAAGTGACCAGACCCTGGGGACACTGGCCTTCACAGAGGATCCATGACTCCCGCATGATTCACCTACTGCCAGCAGGTGGGGCTGGTGCCTGGGTGCCACCAGGGAGGGTCCCCACCTTCTCTTAGCCTGGGCTTCCCAGCTGCCAGGAGGTGGGCAGCTCCGCCCTACCACGGCAGGTGACCGCGTCCCGAATCCTCCCAAATCCGCCAGCCAAAATGAACCCCTCCTGCTTTCAGTCATGGGTGACAGTTGGGTCCTGGGGACAATAAAGTGGCAAAGGCACGAAGCCTACAAGTCTCCTCCCAGGGCACATCTTCCTGCACCTCTGGAGCTCGGCTGATTGGAGTTTTTGGGTTTGATAAAACAAGGGATCGTGCTGTGCTGGATGGTGAAGGGGAAGTCGGCAGTGGAGATGTAGATGGTTCTGCTGGGGTTAGGTCAGGGGTTTCTGTGAAAAAGGTCTGCATGCCGGAAACTGCTGGGAATCAGAGCCCCGGGGGGCAGTCTCCAAGCAGCACCTTCTGGGTGTCAGAGGAGCAAACAGGTGGAAGGGCCCCCACATGGCCTGGCTGGGCAAGCAGTGGCTGGCACAGTCACACAGGCACTGCTCTCCCTGATCCAGCACGAGGTGCCAGTCCACTCAGGGCCTTGCAGGGGACACTGGGCAGGAGCTGAGGAGCATCCATCCTGTCGGAGGGAGTTGAAGAGCCTGTGGCCCCACGCTGCCTATGCAAAAACATCCTGGAGAGACGGCAGCTCGTGGAGAAGCAATACCCCACCACACTCTCCATCATTATAAATATGCCAGAGGGTTTGTGTAATTAAAAAGATCATAAAAATGAAAGCCAGGCTCATCGTAATGGACGAACTATTATCTTTGCAATGGCTGTTAATATTTCTAAGCAGCATGGCTGAAGCTTTAATTAGCAGAAATGCAACTGTGCCCAAGATTACCACCTCCCACACTTATGTAAAGGAGCATCAGCAACCCAGGTTTTAAAAGCATCCCTGGAAAGCAGAGGGCGGGAGATGCTGGCAAAGTTAAATTCACCTTCCCGAAGCCAGCAGCTCTGTGGTGGGTACTCGGCAGCATTCCGACAGAGCACAGGAGGGACCTGAGGGTGGCTGACACTGGTCCCCATGAAGTGG